ATAACAAAAACCCACTAAAATTCTCCAAACAATTTGATGGCAAATATTTAAGTGTTCAGCGATCTTCCTCGGGTGTGTTCTCACACTTAGAGGTCCACCTTCAGATGTTCCTTTTCCGACAAAACCAGTTTCAACAAGATGACGATGAATATTAGAAAAGGTTCGACTATCTGGCAAAGCACGATCGGGATATCTTTGGTGATAAATCTGTCTGGCTTGCTCACCATTACCGTCGGCAAGGCCATATACGTAATGCATTTCCGCCATTTCTGCATTTGAATAATTCACCATTATTAACAAGATTGTAAAAACTAAATAATAAAAAAGATGTCACAGCGAACAGATTTGAATAACAGAGACTTGTCAGATGTCAGAAGCCAGTGACATATTCCAGAGCAATATTGCTAAATTGCATTATTCAATTATTACATTAATTTTCTCGGACAATAGAACGGTTTTTATTTTTTTAATAAAAAATGGAGCATCGAAGGAAAACAATTCAAGAGAGATCATTTGTTTTAAATTAAACGGGTAATTCAAAAATAATTTTTATTTGGCATAAAACCATTGGGGTGCCATTTTTTTCTTAAATAAAATCGAAGTCAATACCCGTACGCACGCCACTGTTAAAGCTAAAAATTATTTTTGCATTGAAAAATATGCAACTTTATTAACTTTTACTACGTACTAAATATCAGTGAAGTATCTGAAGCGCTTCTGAAAATATTAGTTAATTTCCATTTTTTCCTAAAACTTCAACACCCCGAGTTTTTGTAAGGAAACATTTTTGTACCATAGTTTATGAAGCAAACGAACATTAAATTCTCATGTAGATTCACACCGTTAAATATTCGCATATCATTAAGGAACACCTTGCATAATATAATTGATGCAATGGGCGGAACCTTATTAAAAACCTCTTTGGATAATGCTTATATATTGATGTGAAGCTAAAAACAGTAATTAATAATTTAAACTCACGGTGAACAGCAATGACAGTTTTCTATTACATCTAATGGAAGTTCATAATCCATTTATTAAGATCCATATCCAGATACTATTTTCAGCATGCAACACAAAGAATGATACAGACATTGTGCAATTTGCAAACATCAAGTTTAATAGTCTGCTATGGTACAGGCAGTGTAAGCAAATTTCTGATCCCATCTCTAACTTATTATTTAAGGTATTCACTTTAAAATAGGAAATAATTTCCTTTCATCTCCGAGACTTTGTTTTATCAATTTGTGCCAGGTTTTCGAATAAATAGACCACTGTATGGCGGGAATACTACGGCGAGCTGGAGTCCCTTTTTAGTACGCCACACTGGATGAAGCTGCGGCAAAAGGAATAGCATAGGCTCATTCAAGATAGAAGACAATACATGGAAAACCTCCAAGACGCCCTACGCGTCTGCTTCCTAGCACAGTCCGTGCAAAAACCACGTAACCTTTTTTTACTATTTTGATCATTAACCAGTAATTTGAATTTCTCTATATTAATGGTAGAGTGCCCATTCCTAGGCCAAACCCTTTTCAATGATTTTCTTTTGGCACATTTCATAGTTTATGTATGTATGTATGTTTATTGATTGTATAATTTCACACGTATTATATCTTTCTCAGCGATTCAGTGTTATGTTGAAATATTTTGGACACTAATGTTATAGTATTTTATTAATGACTATCTCAGAAATTTCCTCATAAAATATCGTTGGTTCCTCGTAGAGTTGGTTCCACCCATTGGCAATCAGCGCCACTTTGTAACCTGTATAGGACTGTTCGGTTTCTAAGCAAGATACCTTCTTCACATATCAAGATCCTTTTTTTACCATTTTTTCTCCGTTCCTTTTGATTTCCTATCGAACATACCTTCTTCAAGGCCACTCATTTTAACCTCCTTTTACAAAGTTAGGTGTTCTGCCTCATTTTACTTTCCTGCGGAGATTGTGGTGTGGATGTCGTTTCGTTGACTTCCAGATTCTGGGATATTAGACCTCCAAACACCAGTTTATGGCGTAGTACCCTTTTATTTTATACCTTACGTTTAGTTTAGATTTGGGTGCTACTCCGTCCATTCTCTAATGGGATTCTAACCTCCAGCGGTAAGTTCTTCTTTTCATGCCATCGGACTACGTACTTTAATGCATGTCCTGAAGAAGTTTGTTCAATATCTGCTTCGTTTTAGTGGGAAGGCAATGCGTTGAACCACCATTCACACTCCTCCAGCTGATGTGAACAGGTAAAATATCATTAACTATTTTATAGATATTTATATATTGATTATTGCTGACTGAAATTCTTAGAGAGTTCTTGATTTTGTTTGGCATTTTACGTATTGAGACGACATGGCACCTTCTATTGCGCTCTACATTAGATTGATTATGATTTTGATTTTTGAGCTGCCATAAATTTATTTTAGAACAAGGGATACATACTATAACATCAATAAACTATGAAATGTGCCAAAAGAAAATCATTGAAACGGGTAATGGCCTAGGAATGGGCACTCTACCATTAATAAAGAGAAATTCAAATTACTGGTTGATGATCAAAATGGTAAAAAGAAACGTGATTTTGGCGCTCCAAAAGAGAGACACTGACCCTCACTGGTGAAATGGTATCCTACGCTGTAAACGATTCTGTTTAAAAAGCGGCTGCCATTGCTGCTGTCTCATCTGTCAGCAGTGATGAGAGCCTCCATAATGCTGGGATATGTGTCCAAGTCATGGAGAGCAGCGAGATTAGCACGCCTACAGATAGGGTTGTCTACTGAGACATTCTGTAGTGGGTAAATGGAAACAACTCTTCAACACAAAGAAGTGTTTTTTGGCGTACATGGAGCCTCTAATCATTTGTAGCGCACTTCAGGCTAGGAAGCTTCGCCTTCTTTGAAAACGATGATTGAGTATACCTCTTAGACGCGACGAAAACCTTGAATTACCTTCACAAATTTTCCAACTCATTTCATAATCATGTGTGTTCTATGCAACATAAATCAAAAGGTTGCCGAGTTGAGACTTTTAAAATTTTGTTTAGATAATTTTAGAAAAGTTTTTTTCGCTTCAAACTTTGGGATTTGGAATCATTCTGAACAAAAAGGTCTCTGGTAGCTTTTCATCCGTTTTCGAGTTTTGAAAAACCCTAAAAGTGGAAAGTTTAATGCATAAATATCCGTGTACAAATCATTATATTTACGTTAAAACTATCTAATTTAAAGCCCTCCCCTAGATTCAGAATAGTATTTCAGGATAAGTAGTTTCTTAAGCTGAGCATAGAACTCCATGGCCTTGTAAAAGGAATGTTTGAACTTTGATATAAACACTTGGCAACCTCAAAAATATTCATGCTAGACAAGGCATCGAAAATCGCCATGTTTGCGGTTTCTCAGGCCTTAAATTCCTTGTAACTCGAATAAAATTGTTTCATTCTTGATGTAAGACTACCTCATTGCCTAAAAATCAAGATGAAGAAATTATTTTTTCTAGGTGTAACACTTGAATACAAAAAATTGTTTAAACAGGCTTACACCCGGCAACCTCTTACTTCATATTAAGAACCATGATTGTGAAACAAAGAACGAGATGTTCCTCACAAATGCCAGGTTTCCTATCTCAACTTCAGTACACTGGCATTCAATAGCACAAGCATTTTTTTAATTTGCGGTGGAGTGACAGCCAAGCAAGTGTAAGAATAGAAAAGTATAATGTGTAAAAATAAGTTTGGCTTTTAAGTGCATCTGATAGTTTTTATAATTAAACGATACAAAATAGAATACTCGTATACTTCCGTATTAAATCTTTATACTTTGATCTCTAATATATACCGCATCTATACTTGAAATGATGATTCTAGGAGAATGTCATCAAGACATAGGAGAATACTACAAATCATACACGAAAAGAGTATCGTCCGACATTTCCAAATATTCAATGCGCATGGAAAGACTGCATGAATCTTTTTATTGATTATTATATAAGGTATTGTTTAACATCATAGTTAAAATCCAATCATTTAGAGGTATCTGATCGTCACATAATCGAAATTCGACGCGATTCCATTCAGTTAACCAATCGCAAAATATTTATGTATAGTTTACAATTTTTTGCTTTAAGTCTCCTACAAAAAAAGATGCAATACCTCACCACTTTTTAGATCACACATTTCCAGTTCCAGTTCCAAGTTCACTTCCTAAATGCCATGTTTCCACAGTATTTTGCATATTATGGAAAAATGTTGAATTTACTTTTAGAATACTCTAGTGAAGAGCAACAGTGATATAGTGGCTGAACGTTACTTGTTTCCCATAATTCTTATGACAGCAATATTTTGGTCAAATAAAGAATCTGTTGAACTCACTACATACCATTTGCCATTTTTATATAATGTTCTGCTTTATTAAATTCTTTCAGATTTTTATCAGAATATTTTTATGTTTCTGTATTTTAAGCTAGTACTTTATTTACCCGCCGCGTGCGCTACAGTTTTAGCTTCTTATTTAGTACGGAGAAGGAAATTTCATCTCTTGACATGGTCTATCAATAATTACACTTGTGCGAATAACAGCAAAATGAAATTGCTGTTTAGGCATTAAAAGCTGCGGTTCGTTGTGTTAAGAAATTATTATATACACTCAAAGCTTAAATTGGTCGCATTCTATGAGATTTTTGCATTGAAATATCCCAGAACATATATACCTTAAACTACCGTTTTCTATTTACCTTAGTGCCTGATTGTTCTTCAAAAGTATATTGTTCGAAATTTTGGCATATTTGGCCAGAATTCACCCATTTTCCAATATTCAAGTTACTTCCTACTTCAATCTATGATAAGATACACTGAGACACAAAACAATGTATAAAAATAAAACTGTTGCGCTCACAACAATAACAAAATTGGAATTCTTATTAAAATTGTGTAATTATTTGTTCCAGTCTTTGTTTTTTATTGTGAATGCAACGACGCAGTACTTTCATTTTTATAGATGTCTTGTGTGTTACAGTGTAAATCATGCGCTCATATAAAAATGGTAAGTTAAATATTTGGAGAATGAATGATTTTTTGACAAAAAAATCCAATATTGCGGCTATTGGGCTTCTAAAAAGGAATCAAGTCCTAAGGTTAAATGAACAATGTTCATGAGAATTTAAGATACGTATGTTCTAAAAAATTTAAATGAAAAGATTTCATGGATTCAATAAACTTTAGATCTGGACCCCCACTGCAATTCATAATTATCTTTTCCTGTTAGTGCTTTTATTGCAATTATATATATAATATATTGACAAAATCCAATAAAACCGGATCTCAGAGGTATTAATAAATATTTTTTTAACTTTGTCAATAAGAACTTTTCTACTTGAATTTGGTTCAGGAATACGCACATTTAGTTACAGCATTTCATTAAGTAACACCCTGTATGCCGGGTGATTCTCCAAGGTCGCTCACCCCTATAACTTTTTTATTATTGCAGATAGAAATACGAAATTTGAGAGTTGCGTATTGTAGATGAATTCACATTTTTTGACACATCCACTTGCTTTGAAGTACTTCCGGTTTGACCGGAAACGACTCCAACTTTCGACTTTTAAATGGGACACCCTAAATATTTTTACTTATTTCGATCAAGAATGGCATTCTCAGCTCACAACACCTCACTTGTCAATATTTGACAACAAAAGTCATTTTTATTCCAGTTTTTATTTTCGATCTAGAATGCTATGGATCCTGTAAGCCATTTAATTTTGGACCACTAATTTTTTCAGCTTACTTAATTTTTTTTCGAATAGAAAGGAAATGGCTCGTCTGTTTTTTCTAAGAGACCATTTTATTACAAATAATTTGACAGTACACTCTCTTATTTTATTTTCACTATTTTTCTGAAACAACAAATAATACGTATCTGCGTTCGGTATACTTATGCACTAGTTATCCATGACAAATAATTGAAGGCGTTGCTAGGGTTACTTCAACAAATACCTAATCTAGGTTATTAAAAATACTGTCAGTTTTAAAACTTTATTTCCGTCACAGAAAAGTGGACAGACACTTATGGGCCTATTTAATGGCCTCCGAGGTACATCGTTAAGTTGTCATACTTTTTTAGAACGTCTAATTTATTTTTCATATTTTAGGTCACCAGATCACTGTGGAACATTTAATCAATGTGGTGCAAGCAACAATTGATAAAGTCGAACTTTGTCGTGATCGAAGAGGAGGCCATTTTGAACATTTAGGACCTTAATGGCACCTTTTTGAATTTTATTTTTTGTTTTAATAATGCGACAGATTGAAAAATCTCGAAACTGGAGATGCTACAGACCAAAATATGTGAATTGAAAGGGGTTAATTACCCCCCATAGACGACTCGAGCAGTCTTTGAAAAGGTGGTATAAAGTGAACGTCTTATAAAATTATATGTATTTTCTACAGAAATTACTGTAACAAATTCATATGTTTGCATATGTCCATGCTCTTAATGCTAAATCATTATAACACTTCACGTCACACTGAGAATTTACTTTCCATTTTACCCCTCCCAGACTGAAATCCTGGGAGCGCCACTGGACCTAAGCATACCTCAATACAAAAGTTGATAGTTTGCGAGATACAGGGTGTGAACGTTACACTTTTATTTTCTGTTTTTCTTTATTGCTTGAGAAGTACTCCTGATTTTGGTGGTATAGGGAAGTTTTCTAGTATGAGTCTTTATTTACACCATAAACAAGGTTTACTTGTTAGAAGTATCTAAACCTAATAGTTTTCGTGATATTTGTTTTTCAAAATCTTATTTTTCCTGTGTTAAGTACTTGATCAAAAATGAAGTAAAATAAGTAAAAATACATAGGGCGTCCCATTTTGAAATCGAAAGTTGGAGTCGTTTCCGGTTAAACCGAAAGTACGTCAAAGCAAGCGAATATGTCAAAAAATGTAAATTTATCTATAATACGCAACCCCCAAATTTCGTTTTTCTACCTTCAATAATAAAAAAGTTATAGGGGTGAGAGACCTTGGAGAATCATCGAGATAATCTGATAGTTACATACACTACTGGTCTTTAAATAAGACGAGATCCAGGCACATTGATTTTGCCTAGGGATTCATCAAATCATGTAGCTTGATATTCTTAGAAACTATTTGACTTGAGTCATTAATGCTTGACTCGACTTGATTTTTTATTAACCTCAGGTCAGACAAACTACTTGATACTTGATGGCAAATCATATTTTTGCTATACGAATGGCCTGTACAACCGATGAATCGTATTTTGTATTTTAACTCAAATAATCACGGGGGGGTGGAAAAGGCATGTCCAAACCTAGTCTTACGAGGGCGATTCAATAAGTACCCGTGTTTCACGACAGAGGGTGTTCCTGAAGGAAGTTAATGTTATCATCGTATGCTGCCATCTATCAAACGACGGCTCCACAAATTTCAGTCCGATTGATAGGTTAGTTTGGATTTGACAGCCATTCGAGTGACACGTGTTTCCCGATTTTCGCTAAGATGGAAAAAGAGCAGTATCGTTCGGTAATTCGCTTTTTGTCTTTAGATGGAAAAAAATGCGAGGAGATAAAGGCAAAGTTGGATGCTGTTTAGAGAAACACTTCGCCATCCATGACCACAGTTAGATATTGGTTCAACGAATTTAAGCGTGGACGAACCTCCGTGTTTGATGAGGATCATTCAAAAAGTCCACGACATGATTCTCGCTGATCGACGAACGAAAGTGCGCGAAGTAATGGAGGCCGTAGGTGTGTCGACCGGAACGGCAATCAGTATTTTGCATGATAAGTTGGCTATGAAAAGATTGTATGCCCGATGGGTGCCGCGATTTCTTACAGTGGACAACAAGCGGATGCGGCTGTTAACTTAGAAGCAGAGTTTGGAGCAATTTAAGGTTTAGTTGTCGTCATTATTTCAATTGTACGAGCGCGCGCGGTATTATATAATTAATTTTTATCGACCGATAACGGCAATATATATATATATATATATTATACAATATATCACATCATCAGGGTCTGGTCTCAGCGACAAGACGAGTCCCCAAGCTAAGGGCTGAGTGAGTCTCAATAGATCGCAGCGTGGAAACTGCTCTACCAGGTACAACACCCTGCCAGGTACGTAAGTCGTCTGCAGACAATTCCGAGTTCCGACATGAATCATTTGTTGGACCCATGATCGACCGTCAAAAGATCGAGCCGGACTTAGCAAGCATCGATCCCGCTGCGGGCCGTTGATCTCAACGGCAATACGAGGGCCAATGCGACAGTCGTAGAGAGCGTTATGAAGTGCTGCCGCACCCCCCGATCTACCCCCTACGACTTTTCCTTGTGGCTCAAACGTGCAACTCATAGGCATATTTTGGAGAGTTCGACAAATCCTATTTTTTTGGGGGGTTGAGAAAATGGTAGGAACGTTGGGAAAAGTGTATCTTTCTATAAGGGGATTATGTTGAAAAATTAAAAGAATTTTTTTGATGTCTTCATTTCTAACACGGGTACTTATTGAACCGCTCTCGTAGTAGAGATTTGTCATCGACATCTTCCACAACAGTGTTCATTGAAAAGGAATCTTCTAGGGCTGAGATTAGCAGATTAAGCGATAAATCCGTTATGAGACCCGTGGTAAGCGAAGGAAAATATAATTCAGAATTGTACATTTTTTTGTATCAGCTGATAAAGGAATGCTTTTTTTTACTTTTGCGTACAGTTTAATCGTTCGTGTATTTGTTATATGACAAACAAAATATTTTGTTCGTTTGCAGTGTCGACCGATGTGTTGTGCTACTGTCTTCCGTATACTAAAATGTCAAAAATTGATCCAAAAGGTTAAGGTTTTGGATGAAAACACCAATTTTTGAAGTGTTCTTACTCCAAAATAATTGAAACAGAAGTTGGTGTTCGGATTCAGAACACAATACATTGCGTTATAGGGAAATCGATATTCGAATTTGAATTATTGTTGATTTGTGTTCATTGATAGTCCATGTCAAGAGATGAATTTTCCTTACCTGTATCAGTTTAGCTTGTGGTTTTTAGTCATAGTGCTGTCATTTCGAGAGTTTTCAGGGACTCTTCCCGGCCCAGCAGAAGTCGAATATGTAAGCTGCTACCCATCCGGAGGAAAGTATAAAAAAGAAAAACGTTTAATTCATGAACTATCTAGAATGTATTGGACTGGATATGATGATGATGGTGCATGGCCAGCCAGGTATCAGCCCATTCGACTCCAGAGGGTCGGAAATAGCTGTGACCTACAGCAACGGCTAGCTGTGTCGTACTTCCCACCCATTTTAAGCTCACTCTACGCACTCATACCTTGGTTGACGTAATGAGAAACAATGACCGCAAAATCTATTCACGTAAGCTTCAGGTTATCATATAATCCGCTAATAGGCGCGTCAATATAGCACTTGTTTGAACTTCAAAACAAGCTTACTTTTTTAATAAGCTTTTCTTACTTTCACTTATACAGAGTGTTCTATAATGATATGCGAATAATTAAGAGTGTGAATCTACATGAAAAATTAATGTTAGTTTGCTTTATAAACTATGGTCCAAAAATGTTTCCTTCAAGTTTTAGGAAAAAAATGGAAATTAATTAATATTTTCAGAACTGCTTCAGATATTTCAGTGATATTTAGTACGTCGTGAAAGTTAATAGAGTTGCATATTTTTCAATGCAAAAATAATTTTTAGCTTTAACAGTGGCGTGCGTACGGGTATTGACTTCGATATTTTTCAAGAAACAAATAGTACGCCAATGGTTTTTTGCCAAATAAAAATTATTTTTGATTTCCCCGTTCAGTTTAAAACAAATGATCTCTCTTGAGTTGCTTTCCTTCGATGCGCCATTTTTGAGTAAAAAATTAAAAACCGTTCTATTGTCTAACTTGCAAAATTATTATTAATTTAATTGGAAAAATTAAACACATTAGGGGCAATGAACAACGACAACTGACAACATAAACATAACATTAAAACCAACGAAATGATTACAAAAATTGTTGAAAATGGCCCCTTCACTTAGTATGCATGCTTCCGCCCTCCTTCTCATGGAATTAAAAAATATCGAAGTCAATACCCGTACGCACGCCACTGTTAAAGCTAAGAATTATTTTTGCATTGAAAAATTTGCAGCTTTATTAACTTTCACTACGTACTAAATATCAGTGAAATATCTGAAGCGGTTCTGAAAATATTCATTAATTTCAATTTTTTTCCTACTTCAACATCCCGAGTTTTTGTACGGAAACATTTTTGGACCATAGTTTATAGAGCAAACTAACATTAATTTTTCATCACACCCTTAAATATTCGCATATCATTAAGGAATACCCTGTATATTGCTTTTCTTTAATGCGTCTCCCAGCCCCTTATTTATTTTTTAACGGACTAGATTAGAAAGAGGAATTTTTTAGATGGCATTGGGAAATGCGTGGTACCTCATTGTGAAGCTCGTTATAGCACTAGAATATAAATTCACTATATGTATTCCAAAATGTCGGACTGGCAAGTTGTTGAAGTTTAAGTTTTTGTACAATGAATCATTTGCAACTCATCAAAAAATCATCAAATTACTGGAAGAATGTTATAACGATATTCCTCTTTTGCAAAAAAATATACATCCAAATATGTAACAAAATTTAGAATATTGCATTAGGAATTTGTTTAAAAATACTCGTATGTATATGTCCCATATTTCATCATATATTTGGATGAAGTCTTACACAATAAGAAGGTTAATATACTGAGTGACAAAAAAAAGGTAAGCCATTTTGGAAGATAGTGAACTTTTGTTCTATGGTTGAAAGAGCGCTCATAAGGTGCTTTAAAATGATGTATCACGTATCCCTCATTTCGTTTAAAACAAGGTCTAAGATGACGTCCGGCAGCTATCTTGAAATTTTCATCACCTTCTCCGCAAAAAAATATGTAGTATTAATTCATCAATTTCACCATGCTGCTAAATTGACGTCTTCAAAATATATATAGCGAAATTTTTTAAATAACACTAATTAAATAACTATCTAACATATTTGACAAATTATGGATAGAACACTTGATATACCTAAATTCGTAAATGTACGCAGGACATCTATGATGAGTGAAATATGGCTAATATAAATATACCAAACAATTGAGATATACCAGCCCCCACCCCTACGACTCCCAGCCCCCAATTTCCAACCCCTACAAAAAAATTTCCGGAAATGATCGGGATAGTCTAAAACGTCAAAAAAAGAGGTTTGTGCGATTTTTTATTTTTTAATTTTTGGTCACGGTTTACAAGAAACTAAAGAAGCTTTTGCGACCTTGTCATAGTAATAACATTGTATGAAAATTTCGTCCAAATCCGAATGGTAC